AACGGGAGGTTCTTGCATAAAATTATGAAAAACGGTTGTTAAATAAGTATTGAATTTCACTGAGCTGGCTGGTTTACTGTAAGAACTATTGTAACTTGTGTAATGTATGGTGTGGTATATTTTCCAAAACACCTAATATTATAGTATGAAATGAGCAGGATCATAATACAGTCACTGAAGCTCCTAAGCTTTATACTGAAATGGTTATAAACGGGAAGTCATATGTGTTTTAGGCGGAAAAAAAGTAAATAAAACAAATATATTTCTTTTCTGATGACTAGAAATCAAGCAAATATTTCTAGTTTTTTTTTTTTTTTTCTAGTTTAATTATGGGAAAACGAGATTACTGCCTGGAAAAGAAACAATGTTTCTAAATGAAACTCAATCTGCCAAAGGTTTGAGAACTTTTCTATACTGTTTTACAGTATATTCTTGTTAATTGGGTGTGGAAACAAAGTGGGCCAGAAGCTCTTAGCTTGGGCATCTCCAGGCTCATTTCCTACATGGGCACTTGAAGGAAGGGGAGCAGGGAAAGCTCTTGCTGGCAGTAATGAATGGGGAAATCTCCCAATTCACTCAGAGATGGTGAGTTCTCAAATTCAATTTTGTCTTGTAGATCTATACAAGAAAAGCTCTTTTTGTTGATTCTGTACAATTTCACGCTTGTTTCATGAATTTGTTATTTGTAAAGACTGCTGCAACAGTCTTTACAACACAGCTTTTAAATATATGAAATTCTGTAACTTCAAATCCCTTTTTAGGTATTCATGTACAGAAGTTGTCACAATAAACTCAGTCAGATCATTTAATATCATTTAGACACTTTACCCGATATTATGCACGGATCTCAAAGTAAAACAGTACTTTCTTTCAGGTCCTGATAGTGCTGTTTTGCTTAGTAAATACATAGCTGATAGACAGAAACAAGCACTTTTCACATGTAAGTGAAAACAGATGCATTACTTAAGAAAGGAATGCAGTTCTTGACTTAAGAGTCAGAATCATCTCTTGCGTCCTCCAAATTCAATACTGTACATTTGTCCTTGTGCATTGGGTACAGATGTTTGTGGATGATGGCCTATGAGAATATTCTTTTTCATTTTTGAGATAATACGTAAGGTTTTACAGAACTTCAGTACCAGTATTGCAAGAATTATTACCATTCATTAATAACTGTCCATCCTAAGCAATAAGGATTCAATTCCTACACCTTAAAACATCTCAATTTATGATATTTAAAGAAGAAAAATGTTTCAACACGATCAAGGATTTTTGGTTTCCAGAAAAAGGTCACAAGAACAAAAGAATCGTATTCAGAATATCCAAAAACACCGCACTTCTATCAGGGAAGTGTCTGTTCCATAGTCTGCTGAGCTGGTTCAGAATGAAGTTCTGTTCTTAGGTTTAAAGGCTGACGGCTGCTGCAGACTTTTATTTGTCTTTTGGCATGCCAATACGCTACAAATAAATTACCTATATTCCATATGCTACAATCAATTTGATCACATATTGTTTTCAGCTGTTTTGGAAAAGAAAGACTAAGAAAATACGAGTCCCTGTCCAAAGCAACTGTGCCAAAGAAACGGATTGCATCTTAGTGTGTACTAAGAAATAAATTCAAGTCAGAATTTGATTATCTTAGTGTATACTACAAAATAAATTCAAGTCAGAATTTGATTATCTCAGGGTCTTAAAATCTGAAAAAAATGCAGTTGCTTGAGTAAAATTGCCATGTTCCAAATGGTAAAGGTGCCATTAATTGTGATAAAGATTTGTTTATTTGTGGATAAAGATTTGCCTGCCTTTTAGGAATATATATATAAAAGCAAACAGGTTTTCAAATATCTGATGTCTCAAGGAAAGCAGATAACAGTATTTAGAAGACTGGCAATATTAAACTTGGTCATGTATCTCAGCTTTATATCAACCTTCTAATTCCCTCAGATTAACTGAAAATCTTGATAGGTTTCCACGCTCAAAAAGCCTCTCCTACACTTTAATATTAAATAGATTCCAAGGCAAGCTAAGGAGGTCGAGGAAGTTCATTTTTAGGCATATAACTGTGCAATTGACGTAGGGTTTTGGCATTTGCTTTACTGCCCCTACTGCTGGACATCAAGTTACGTGAAACAGGGGCTTGTACGTCATCTGCATGCTAAAAACATAATTCACTTTTGAAAGACATTCCAGCTTTATATGTGGTATTTGCAATAATGGCACGAGGCAGTAATGCACTTCAGAGAAAAGAACATATTCTCATGAAGTGATATCCAACTTAATCTGTAGCAACTGCAGACCAAACTCTTTTGCTCTACATTCAGGAGTAGATCAAAAACAGAACCTGGGCCTACATAACTAATTTTCTTCTGATTGTGTTTGTCCATTAAGCAGATGGAGCTCACACTTCCCATGCTGTTCCATTCATGCGGCCCCACGTTCATTCACCAGCAAAACGTTTCCTTTAGTTGATGGATTAAAGGCAGGAGTGGGGGGAGGAGTGCAAAATGTTCAGGGATGTACAATACATTGCAACAAAGTTTCAGGGTTGTCCAACTAAAAACTTGCGATACAATTTTTTAATTAAAAAAATGCACAGCTTCAAGACAAATGGTTCTGCCTCTTGACTGAGGCATAAGGCAGAGTTCTGTGCAATTGCTTCAAACTTAACGTGATGCTGTTTTTTCAGAAGAAGTCTATCAAACTGCAGTAAAATATACAAAGCAAGGGAACAAAGTTTTTTTTTTTTTTTTTTTTTTTTTTTGCCAGGCCTTGTCTGTTCTTCCTTTGTATTTTGATTAACTGAAATATGAACCTAGCTGTGTGCTTTATTGGCTGAAAAAAAAATAGCAAATAAACCCAGTAAACAACTCTAAAGTTTATCGTTTCCTTTTCATCTTCACTTAGAAGACCAGGTGTCACTAGCACAGCAAATATGAGGAAAAGCTACTTTTGTTGGGAGTCTCTTTGTGAACATAACAAATGACATAAAGGGCAGGTGTTAAAATAGTAAGAGAGGCAAACAGTGGTTATTCTACAGGATGTTTAGTTGTCTAATGTGTTTAAAAATAAAGGCATTCTATTTGGAAATCTTTGCCAAAATGAATGAAATGTGTCTGTGTCATAGAAAAAAAGAAATCTGCTTTTTAACTCCTCCCCCCCGCCCCCGAAAGCATTAGATTTACTTATCCTATTCCCTTGTAACTGATTTCCCAGAGACTGGCAGGAAAAAGGGCAGTTTTTAACTAAATAAGGATGCTGGAATTTGCTTACTGGTTTCTGTTTACCTGATGTCACTTACGATATTGTGTTTGCCAACTTAAGTGGTATTTAGCACTGGAGTCTTCTGTGTGATTTTACTATTTATGTTAGGAAATTGCTTACCAGCTGCATAGATTAGACTGTTTTCCTTTGTGTGGTTTTCATCCTGTATTGCACATCTGTTACTGCTACTCTTAACATTACAATAGCAAGAGCATTGCTAAATTAATAAGTAAAGAGACAGGTAGGTATGTGGAGATAGGTGTCCTTGCTTGGGAAATAAGAAAGAGAGCTGCTGGGCTGATGGTTTAGCTAATATTTGAAAATGTGGGTGTCTGAATTAAGCATCTTCAGCCCAAAAAGATGGTTAAAGGCAGGTATAGAGGCCCACCCTGAAGCCTTCACGTGTATGCATTTTGAATTTAAGCTTCAAAGCTTATTTTCAGGTGATGAAAACTCTCCGTTTTCTACTTTAACAAGCACACACATTCACTAGCCAGTTTCTTACACTGCATCGCACTAGTTCTGTGACGCTGCTGCTGCTAAGACACAAACCCTAGGGTAGAAATGATTACCTGACAATCACTTTAACTTAGAATGAAGTGCCCACTCATATTGTAGAGAATTAGGAATATTCTCCACTGGCAACAACGAGTTCTCTTTATGAAAGAAGACCTTACGACATCTTTATAGCAGATGAAGATTTATTTGTAGTTATTTTATTAGTTGCTCCGTTCAATCCTCAAAAGGTTTATCGCTTAGAACAGAGATAACTTGGTAGGAGACACAGACACAAGATTAAGTTTACTATGCAGCTAAACTCTGTTATCAGTTTCTCAGATAATAGTGAAATAAAAGGTTTAATGAATCAAAATATACTGAACTGCATAAAATTTATAAGCAAGTGAGTTTTGGTAAAAGTGTGGAATATTGGTCAGTTTATTTTCCAGCAATACCAAGAACTGATACTGTGTAACTTTTTCTGCTGTTCCAGGTATAATTTTATAAGCATTGCCACTTTGGGAAGAACCACGTCATTTTCCTATAGTTAAAATGCAGTTGCATTTAAGGCAGCTGAGTGGCATCTGAAACAGTCTCTCCCCAACTTTTTTTTTTTTTCTCCTCTCTCCCTTGAACGATCACTATTTGGGTGGAAATATTACAGGATGCAAAGGATTTCCGCTAATGAACCTTCTTGAAATTCTGTCACTTCACTAGGCTCAGCGCTGCAAGCCAGACTTGCCGCCTCTGCTCAGGAGGTGTGCGTCCTCAAAACTCTGCCATATGTGTGCTGCTTTCCTGCACACATTTTTTAAAATACTTTTCAATTATGACAAAGGTGCCTAAAACAAAGGCATGTTCCATAGGGTTCAAATGGAGATAAACTAGCCCTTGTGAGTGAACTGTGAAGTGCCTGTGACTTTCGTGTGGGCTTCTCAGACACCCTTGCAGTCCGCCCGGGTAATTACTGGTGTCTGGGCAGCTCCAGGGTAATGATAAACTATAGAGCCCGGCTGCTGCAGAACGGTGCAATTTTCTCTTCCCCAAGAGCCTGCTGAATTCTGCATTCAGACTCCAAAACAACTTTTTTGCTTGACCGCTAATTCAGACATTCAGCCTAGATCATGCATTTTGTGGACTTAAAAACTCTCAGATGGAATAAATAAATACATAAATAAATAAGAAAAAGAAAAACAACAAGACAGACAGCAGGCTGTGGAGTGGGGGTAACACTCTCCTACCTTCATGAGCCACTGCGTGTTGTTTTCCATGATGTTCTCCAGCAGCTGCAGCCTCTGCACGGAGTCGTCGTAGTCCAGCGGCGCATCCCTCTGCACGGCGTTGGACACGAAGGGGCCCGAGGGGCGGTTGCCCGTCTCGGGCAGCAGGAACGTGTAGCGGCACGAGCCGTGCTGCACCTGGTACTGCTTCTTGCCCACGGCCTCCATGCTCTTGCTGAAGGAGCTGTAGCCCGAAGCGAGCAGGAGGTTGCAGCTCAAAGCCAGGTAGACGCTCAGCCGCATTTTAGGTCCGCGGGTGGCCCAGCAAGTGCGGGCGCCTTGCGGGTCGGGTCAGCGCGGCAGCCCCGGGCGAGCT